AGGGCCAGCTGGGACAGGACAAGGGGGGATGGCTTTAAACTGAACTGGGGTGGGTTTAGACTGGATCTAAGGAAGAAATTCTTTGCAGTGAGGGTGGTGAAACCCTGGCAGGGGTTGCCCCGAGAGGGGGTGGAGGCCCCATCCCTGGGACCATCCCAGGCCAGGTTGGCCGGGGCTGTGAGCAACCTGATGTGGTTCAAGGTGTCCCTGCTCCTGCAGGGGGGTTGGGCTGGGTGACCTCTGGGGGTCCCTTCCACCCAAACCATTCTATAATTCTATGAATGTAGTGTTATTCCGAACAGAGCATATAATGAACACGTCCCTAACTGGGCTTGGTGCCTGCCTGAACTGGGAGATGAGTTTTTTACTGATGCTGAAAAGGTGGCGGCTGATGGACACACAGACTACAGGGGGATGGTTGGCTCTGGTGATTTTAGACCCTAAGCCAGAGCTAATTAGAAGCAAAGAGCTATTGGACAAACCTCTAACTGAGACCTATTTTACAAGAAAAATGGAGCTCTCTGGAAAATGAACTGTTTTGAGGAATGCTTCAGATGGAATGGGGTTTTGACAGCTAGGAGGTGAAATTTAGGTCTTGGCTCTCCCATTGAGTGTCTGCAGCTGGCATGAGGCAGGTCAGAACGTATTTTTGATAACATCTTTTATCTGTAGCAGAGCGGACCGGCACACTTTGAGTCTAATACATTTTATTTTGACATTAGCACTTTCGAACCCGATAGCTTTTGTGATGCGCGTTCTGGGGATAGTTTTGAAATGCTGGTTTTTCTGATTCAGCGCTTAGTAAATTGTGAAATTCTGGGGTGTCCCAGAGGAGTGACGTTTTATTTTCCAGTGAGGTCTCTGCGTGCTGCTTGTCACTGGCCACAGAGCAGGAGGTGCGGGTGCATTCATCATGTGCTGATTTTGCTGATAAGTGGCAAGTGAAAGATAGCAGAGTGAAAAACAGGCTGAGCACCCCCCCTCCCTGCGGGATGCCAAGTCCTGGGCCTGCCTGGTGGTCCAGCACATCTGAACCCCCTAATAAACCCCACTGACTCCGTGCCCCCAGAATTATCCACATTCCTATGTACGTGTCTGGCCAAGTGCCCGAGGACCTGGTACCCCAAACTGCCTGGGCTGAATCTGAGTTTGAGATCGGCTCCATTTGTACATGGTTCGCATGTCGGCTTTTCTATCTCCGGCCTCCCAGTTATTGCTGGGATTGGATGTACCCAAATCATCATTTTTATCATAGAATAGAATCACAGAATCACAGAATGGTTTGGGTGGGAAGGGACCCCCAGAGGACCGCCTTTGAAGTCGCGGGTACGCCTTGAGCCCCATCAGGTTGCTCACAGCCCCGTCCAACCTGGCCTGGAATGGTCCCAGGGATGGGGCCTCCACCCCCTCTCGGGGCAACCCCTGCCAGGGTTTCACCACTCTCACTGGAAAGAATTTCTTCCTTATGTCCAGTCTAAATTTTTCCTGTGTTTAACATAGCTCCACTCCTGCCTTTGGAGACTGCCATAGCTAATAGGGATTTTTGATCTTCATAGCATGCTCCACATTTCCCTTGCTTCTGAGATTATTAATAAGTGAGGTTAAATAGGACAAATCCCTCCCATTTGGTGTTAAGCAGCTGTTCTTTTCACAACAGACACTAAAACCACCCGGAGCAGATGGATGCTTGTGAGGAATCTGTTCAGGTCAGCCGTGGTGTTGTGTTAATCCAGACTTCTGCCCCCTCCGAAGCCATCTCCTGCAGGGATGTCACATCCCTACCCGTGGGGAGCAATCGATTCACCTCGGCTAAACTGCAAAGGCAGCTGGGCAGCAGCTCCTTCGGGCTATCCACCCCCAAGACGCACCAGCCTCTCGGCAGCCATCCCTCCATCTGCACCCTGGAACAACCTGGCCATGTGTCACGCAAGGGACGGACGCTCGGGCCCTCTGCGCCACATCATGTCAACCTGGCCGTTTGCTCAGAGCCGGGCCAAGGGCACGCTTGCAGCCACACACTGGGACACTGAGCTGTTTTACCTTCCATTTATTGCTTTGCTTACACAGGCAGAGGCAGCCTAACACCGAGTAAGATCTCTAGTAAGGTCTCTAGTCATGCAAGGTACAAACCAGGGGTGCGAAGCCCAGGGTTAATAAGAAATTGGACAAGACGTGACAAATAGAAACACAAAAACCAGAGCGGGACTGGACAAAATGTACCCCCTCGCAGGGGCAACAGCCTCGCTCAGGCTGGGGCTTGTTTCAGCCTTTACGGCTGTAGCGGCCACTCGTACAGGGGCTGCAGGAGCTGTTGCTCTATGGTGGGTTGTCTTTGGTGATGAGCATCTTGTTGCTGTTGTGCCGGGCAAGACAGAGCCTCTGTCCTGCTGTGCTCCTGCTCCAGCACCTGGGGTTCAGGGAGCGGATGGCAAGCTGGATCATGGCACATTCCCCGGGGCTTGGGATGCCGACGGGGGCTTGCACCCTGCTGTGGGGGCAGCAGCTTCTGGGTGTTGCTGGGGTCCTGCCAAGGGGCCTCGCAGACCTGGGTCTTGTTGTTTGGGTCTCTTCCTCGTGTCTCTGAGGGACAATTCAGGTTCTGCTCTGCTGACTCTGTCTCTGGGGTCTGATGGTGGTTTGAACCCTGTCCTGGTGCCTCAGTTTCTTGGGCCTGGGGTTTTGCCTCTTGGTTTGGCGTCTCAGTGTCTTCAGCCTTGTGGGTATTTCTGTCCTGCTCTGGGGTTGCAGTGTCCAGGCTCTCACCTATCTCTAGACCTGCTTCTGGTGCTTCAGTACCATCATCCTGATGGATGTTCTGGTCCTGCTCTGGTGTCTCATCCTCCTGGATTTGATGGGCGTCCGGATCCTGCTCTGGTGTCTCACCCTCCTGGGTTTGATGGTTGTCGTGGTCCTGCTCTGGTGTCTCACCTTCCTGGGTTTGACGTGTGTCCCAGTCCTGCTTTGATGTCTCACCCTCTTGGGTTTGATGGTTGTCCTGGTCTTGCTCTGGTATCTCACCCTCCTGGGTTTGATGGTTGTCCTGGTCCTGCTCTGGTGTCTCACCCTCCTGGGTTTGACGTGTGTCCTGGTCCTGCTTTGATGTCTCACCCTCCTGGGTTTGCTGGTTGTCTTGGTCCCACTTTGATGTCTCACCCTCCTGGATTTCACGGTTGTCTGGGTCCTGTGTTTCAGTGTCCTGAACCTCATTGTTCACACCCTGCTTGGAGACCTGTTGGTTGTGGGAGACCCTCTCGGCTGTGCCTGGCCCTGGTGGCCGCTCCCCACTGGCCTTCTCTTGCACTGTTGGCTCTTGACAACCCTCTGGTGCCTGGTGCTGCTGGAGCGGCTTGTAACAAGCCTTGGCCACATGGAAAACCAGGCTGAGCAACTCGCTGAAGTCAACTCTGCAGTTGCTGTCATCATCCAGGAAGCACAGCACTTTCTTGAGGGTTTTGGGGTCCTGGGGGTTCTGTAAAGAGACAAATGGTGTTGGCAAAGCCCCCGAGCCATTTGTGCCATCTCTTGAGGAACACTTGAGCAGAAATCCAGCCCCATGGCTCCCCTGCTACTGTGGCTCCTGTTGCTCCCCCCACCAAGCTCTACGAGCTGCTGGTGCTGGGAGAATGAGCAGCCTCTCCCCTTCCCTGCAGATCCTGGGCTTTGAAGGCATCTGAAAACATCCCAGGTGTCCTACACAGGACTGCATGGCTTTACCCGCCCCACCGCACTCCTGATCCTGTGCCAGAAGGCACAGCCGGATCCTCACCTCCAGCACGTCCACAAACTCCTGCTTGATGAGCTGCCTCAGCTCCTCCCTGCTCAGGGGGCTGCAGGTGCCGTTGCTTCTGGTGCACACGTAGAAAACAGCAGTGATGCCATCGACGTTTTCCTGGAGCTGGGCCATCTCCCTGCAAAACCGAGGCCGCCTGTGAGAAAAATGCAGGCAAAAAGGGGCTTTATTCATTTGTTTGTTTGCTTGGTTTTCAGATAAGTTACTCTTAGACAGCACAGCTGGACGGACAGAGAGGGAAAGGAGAGCCAGGAGGGCACAGATGAAATGAAACTGCGTAAGGGAGGGGAAAGAGAGAGCAAGAAGGATCTCATGGGGAAAACAAATCTGACAAGTGAAACTCAGCTGCAGAGGTGGCTGGGTGCGAGGACCGGCAGGCGATGGCTGGAGGGGTGAGGGACAGCGGGAGCCCGAAGGCTGGGGGTGCACAGTAAGAGAGGAGAGAAGAGAATCCCATTTGCTTTTCTCTAGAGCAGAGCAGAGCTGGGAGTGGAGGTCACCTCTAACGAAGCAGGGAATGGTGTAATTCCAGATATTTTTTTTTTTCTTTCCTTTAGGACAGCTCAGCAGTGGCAGCTCCAGGGACATCCTCGTGGCCAGAAGCTCCTGCTTTCCTGCTGGTAGCAAAGTCAGACAGCGTAAAAAGTCTGTCCAGGCTTACCTGGGCGAGAAGCAGGAGCACTGAGCTTCAGGAGTGCAGTCTGGAGCAGATCAGCTCTTGGCTCTCTTATATACAGCTCAGCATCGCAGCCTGCATCTTCCAGCGGAGACGCCCCTCCAGCGGGGCGACCTGAAACATCTCGTGCCCAATTAGACTGTCATGCCCCTGCCTTCATTGCTCTCATTATCTTCTGCTCTGATGCTTTCCTCTGGAGTTAAAGCATGGTCCTTCCTAAGCTTGCCCCACCTGCAGACACATTTCAGAGGAATTTAACAGAAAAGGCTATTTTTAACCACTGGAGGATTTAGTTTAAGGTGATGCCTGAGCAACGCCCGTGACTCTTGTGTTTGGAAAACGTGTTTTATGAGAAGGAGATCCTCAGTGACTGACACGCAAGGGAGGGGACCTCCTGGGAGGGCTTGCACGGTGAATAAAGAGCAAAGGAAGAAAAATGAGGATATTGTGCTGCCAGGATGAATGTGATTCCTCCCAGAAACTCCCTCTTCTGGATTCCGAGGTAGGCATCGAGCAAAGAAATCTTTTCAAACAGTGCCACCAAGTGGCACTTGGCGTAGGACAGCAAGGGGGACATGGGATGTCCCAGAGCCAGCCAGCAGCTGGGGATGTGGGCATGGTGGGCAGCAATCACCCATTTACCAGAAGGGGAAACTGAGGAACGAAAGGGACTTAAACTCCTTGAGCTGGGCTCGGCACCAGTCCCCACTGCAACCCCACGTCCTGTGAGCGAGGCCACTGGATTGGTGCCCAGTGGGTGAACTGGGAGCCCCCCCCAGGCCTAAATGCAGTTACCGCTGTTTGCTCAGGAAAATAAATTTTGTTTCTCCCTACGCTTTCTTATCGCCCCTCAGGCGCTCGAAATGCGGCGTGATAGGAAAGTTGTTTCGTAGGCGCTTTGAGTAAGACTTTTAGATGTCCTCGTTATAGCTTTCTGGTTTTTAAAAAGTCCTTTTCTTGGCCAATACATGGTTAATACAAAAGATGGGAAAGAAATAATATCAGAAATCCAGGTAGGTTTTAACACACGGGGTGTTTTGGGCACAGAAAATAAAACACATATGGGTTTGCATTGAAAAAAAAAGCGCTTTCAGGAAAATGCCCTGGCTTGCCCTGTGCCTGGCATGGGGAAGGTTCATGGGTCCCACTTCATTTATGGGAAATCCTTGCAGGTGTGCTGGGAAGGGCTGGGAGGGGATAAATAGGGGAGGCTGCAGGGTCAGGAGGGCTTTGTGGGCTGTCCTGTCCTTTGGTTGGGTGCCAAGTCCTCTTCAGCTCAGGGTTGCTTTTGCTCTGGCCGGTTCTGTCGGTCACCACGCCTTTTCTTTAAGCTGAGAGGTTTCTAATATGCTATGGTTTTAATCCCAGGTGCCATCACGCAGCTCCTCTGTCAGGAGGACATATCTATGTTTATATATAAATATATATATATTTACACTTCTATATATTTATATCTATTTTTATATATACTTCTATATATTTATATCTATTTTTATATATACTTCTATATATTTATATCTATTTTTACATATACTTCTATATATTTATATCTATTTTTACATATACTTCTATATATTTATATGGGGGGCGGTGGCGAGTGTGTGTCATAGAATCATAAAATCGTTTAGGTTGGAAAGACTTTTAAGCTCATCAAGTCCAACCGCTCCCCTACCCCTGCCATCCCACCCCCAAACCCTGGCCCTCAGCACCGCCTCTGCCCGACTGTTAAATCCCCCCCGGGGTGGGGACTCGACCCCTTCCCTGGGCAGCCCCTTCCAGCCCCTGACAGCCCCAAGGGGAAGGAATTGTTCCCCATGGCCAACCTCACCCTGCCCTGGCGCAACTTCAGACCATTCCCCCTTGGCGTTGGGCAGTAATGGCAGGGCCTGGCGTTGGGTGTTAGGCCTGGGGTTTGTTTAAGGTCTGGGGCTCCAGAGAAGTGGGAGTTAGGTCAGAGCAGTCAGGTTTCTCAATGAAAAATAAAGCAGGAAATTACTGTTTATTCCTGGATGACTCCAATTGTTCCTGCTCAGCAGGGCAGAGCAGAAGTGTGGGTTAGGGCTGATGGAGGAGGGAAAGTACTGCGCTGAGGCTCTAACGTGAGAAAGCATTTAAATATGGGGTTTGGAGAGCTGGAGGGCTTCAGGGCTCGCGGGGACGGGGCTTGCTTTGGGAGGCTGGAAGCACAAGCCAGTGCTGGGTTAGTGCCGGCGCTCCGGGCAGCCGTGGCACCCGGAGGTCTCCTCTGCAGTTCTTGCCTCCTTTGCCTTTTCTTTCTGGTTTTTTCCTTCTTTCTTTTGCCCGTTGAGGGCAGCTTACACGGCAGTTCAGGCTTACCTCCCTTTTCTTGTCTCATTCCATACACCGAGCACGATTCCTAAACTTTCCCAGGGCTGGAGCCCATTCTACAGAGAGTTTTATCACTTACATCTATGTCATTATCAGGAATTAAGCTAATTGGAATAAAATGTGTTCTTTTCCTCTGCTGCCTGGGCATTTCAGTGCGTTATTTCTGTTGCAACCTTCTTTATTGCTAATTCGTTGTGACATTAAGAAGTGTAAGACATCAGCTTTTCTCTAATACACGTTTCCACTTTTTTACATGTTAATGAGCATATTTAACACATTTCTCCATAGATAATTGGATTCCAAGGCTCCCTGTGGTAATGCCCTGAAAGCCAGCTAGCAATGCCTTTAATATCGAAAAGACTCTTCCTGCATTTGAATAATCCCACAATTAAAATTAGGAATGAATCTCTTGGCTGAAACAAGGCTTTTGAGGACACTTTTCTTGTTTTGAGACAGTTTTAATACATCTGTTAACTCTACTGATGGAGGAGTTAATTAAACCCTTCCTTTGCATTTGTACCCCCGAACTCGCAAAGGGGCACAGGTATCTCGGATTATCTTGTTCCTCTTGCCCATCGATCCCGCTCGTGAAGGCGAGATTTTTCTGTGCTTCGTTTGCTTGTAACATATCCAGCCGGCTGTTTTAATTCAGAACTACCTGAGAGGAGGCTGTAGTGAGGTGGGGGTGGGTCTCTTCTCCCTGGTAATGGATGATAGGACGAGGGGGAATGGTCTGAAGTTGTGCCAGGGCAGGTTTAGGTTGGACATTAGGAAAAATTTCTTCACTGAAAGGGCTGTCAGGCTCTGGAATGGGCTGCCCAGGGAGGTGGTCGAGTCCCCACCCCTGGGGGGATTTAAAAGAAGGAGAGATGAGGTGCTGAGGGCCAGGGTTTAGCGGTGGGATGGCAGGGTTAGCTTAACGGTTGGACTCGATGATCTTAAAGTCTTTCCAGCCTAAATGATTCTATGATTCTGTGAAAATATAGGAGCTACCGCTGAGTAAATTGTTTTTTTCTGAAGGTGCAAAGGAACTCACAAGTTTACTTAAACAGCTGAAAAATGAAAGGAGATGATAATATGTAGAGCGCATGCAGAGCACACATGGAATTCTGTACCTCACTTTAAGCAAATCTTTAGCAATTAGAAGCCAAGAATAAACCCGAGGTGGCCATAGGGTAGCGAGGAAGGGGAGATGAGGTTACCCCACGTTTACAGCTATGAAGAATTATTTCGCCTCCCTCTGAAGGTACCGGCTTTTCACTATAAGGAGGAGGACCCCCAGCGAGGCAGCACGCTATACGGCAGTGCTTCCACCCAGATGTTTGGGAATGCTGCTGACTGACGGACAATCGAGGCAAAATTAATCCCGCAGCTGCTACTCGTTACCCCCATCCCAGAAGACTCCAAATCCTGTTTTTAGCTTCATCAGAAAACGAGCTTTGCCACTGCCCCTATGCTCCTGCCCTTTCAACTTCTCCAAGCTCCAGCAGCAAATGTCCTCCTGCCCTCCCGTGCCGCGCACCACTAGAGGACGCTGCCTGTGTGCGTGCTCAGCCACAGAATCCCAGCGTGCCAGGGGTTGGAAGGGACCTCGGGAGCTCACCCAGTCCCACCCCCTGCCCAAGCAGGCTCACCCAGAGGAGGGGGCACAGGACAGCGCCCAGGCGGGGGTTGAAGATCTCCAGAGAAGGAGACTCCACAGCCCCCCTGGGCAGCCTGGGCCAGGGCTCCATCACCCTCCAAGTCAAGAAGTTCTTCCTCCCGTTCAACTGGAACCTCTTCTGCTTCAGGTTGTGCCCAGGGCCCCTTGTCCTGGCGCTGGACACAACTGGGAAGAGTCTGGCTCCGTCCTCGTGACCCCCACCCTTGAGATATTTGTAGGTGGTGATGAGATCCCCTCTCAGCCTTCTCTTCTCCAGGCTGAACAAGCCCAGCTCCCTCAGCCTTTCCTCCTAGGGGAGATGCTCCAGTCCCCCCATCAGCCTTGTTGCCCTCCCCTGGACTCTCTCCAGTAGCTCCTCATCTTTCTTGAACTGGGGAGCCCAGAACTGGACACGTGCATGTGCACGCGCGGTCACACATGTGCGTGCTGTGGGTGCCTG